CCAAGGAGCAGTTGGTGGATTCGAACAGCTCACCTTTTGGTTAGCAGCCGAGCTCTTAATCACTGTGCCATCAGGGCTCCTGAAACTTAGCAGACACCTAATATATGCTCAATTTACATTCCCTGTGTTAGCGTAGGTTATCGTTCCATTTAGTCTGTGCACCAAAGAAAACACTCTTGTTTTAAGAAACTGGATAAATAATACTCCTAAAACCAAAGAGTAAAATAAAAATTAAAATGTAGTGGATGGTTTATCAAACAGGAGATACAGAAAATGGGGGGTGGGGGTATGGTTATATGACACTCCTGTTTCTTTATTCAGAATATATGTATTCCATTGTATATTTTGGGTGAAGCCATTTCAAGTGGTAGTGTGGAGTATTGGCTCAGAAAAAATTACATGACCTAAGACTGCCCCGAATTTTTTACAGAGATGAAAATGGGTTAGAAGGAACCACAGGGAAAACTTTTAAGGGAGAAAAAGAGGGAAAGGTGATGTTGCACCATGTGACTTGTGAACAGTGGGAAAGGAAAGATGGTCGTTATCACCAGATCCACCACCACCATCAGTTGCCTATTGAGTCGATTCTGAGTCATGGTGACCCCATACGTATCAGAGTAGAACTGTGCGCCATAGGGTTTTCAATGGCTGATTTTTTTTGGAAGTAGAATACCAGGCCTTTCTTCCAAGACACCTCTGGATGGTCTCAAACCTCCAACTTTTAACACAGCCAAGCACGTTAACTGTTTGCACCATCCAGGAACTCCTGTTACCGGATAGCCTCTGTCATATGCCTAAAGGGGAAGGGTGGATGGTGGGACGCGCAGGTGAGCTGCTCTAGCCTTTTATAGCACAAGCCAGCCAGCTTTACCTTTTTACTCTCTCCCACCAACAAGAACTCCCTCTGCTTTGTTCCACATCCACCTAGTTATTGCTGCAGCACAGGCCCACAAATGCAGGAGTCTGGATCAATCATACTTACTGCCTTATGTAAAGGAGGCTTGGTCTCAGATAATTATTAAAATACAACAGAATGCTTTACATACAGTCATGGAAGGTCAGATACTACTGGGTCAATTGAACGAACTGATGATGTAGAGTGATAAGGAGCCACCTGACACCTGTTCCAGCAGGTGGAGACTGGAATGGAGGCCCTGACCCTTCCCCCTCCTGTCAAGATCATATGACCTGAAAGGATGTGCTAGAAAAAAGCTAGAATAGTAGCAGAAATCATCGAATAAAGGATCACTTTTAAAAAAAATTTTACTGTGGTAAAAATATATACAACAAAAAGGTTGCCATTCGAACCATTTTCTAATGTGCAATTCAGTGACATTAATTACTTTCACCATGTTGTGCTACCATCAACACTATCTGTTTTCAAAAGTTTTACATCAATCCAAACAGAAACCCAGTACCTCTTCAGCAATAACTCCCATTTCCTCCTCCACCCAGCCCCTGGTAACCACTAATAAACTTTGGTCTCTTTGCCTCTTCTAGATATTTCATGTAAGTTGTGTGATGGTTAAGATTGTGTGTCAGCTTGGCTGGGCCATGATTCTCAGTGTTTATATGTGATCACTCCCATGATGGAATCTGCTGTGAGTAGCCAATCAGTTGAAAGGGAGTTGGGGGTGTGGCCTGCAATTCGAATATAAGCAGATGTTCTGGCTTTTTGCTCACTCTGGATCCTATGGCTGCCTCCTGTTCATCTGACCTCCAGTGCTTGGGACTTGAGCTATTACCTTCTCCACTGATCTTGGGATTCGTGGATCTTCACAGCCTGTGAGCGGAGCCCTTCTCTCCAACCTGCCGATCTTGGGTTCGCCAGCCCCTGCAGCTGCGTGAATCAGGAGAAGCCTTCTTGTCTTGCCTGCCAATGTTGGGATTCATCGATCGTCACAACCTGTGAACAAGAGCACTGCTCTCCAACCTGCCGATCTTGGGTTTGTCAGCCCCTGTGGCTACATGAATTGGGAGAAGCCTCTATCCTGATCCACAGACTTGGGACGTTCCAGCCTCTACAATCGAGTAAGCCATTTCTTTGATATAAATCTCTCTGTATATCTATTTATACACTTTACTGGTTTGGCTTCTCTAGAGAACCCAGCCTAAGACAAGTGGGATACAATATTTGTCCTTTCATGTCTGACTTATTTCATTCAGCATAAGGTTTTTAAGGTTCATCTATGTTGTAGTATGTATCAGAACATCATTTCTCTTTATGGCTGAATAATATTCCATTGTATGGATATACCACATTTTGTTTATAAGGATGACTTTTTAAAGCAGAAAAACAAAAAACTGAGGAGAACAGCTTCATGCCCTTGCCTTGATATGGCTAGGGAATTAAAAGGAAACAAACACATGCAGTCACATGAAATTAGATATTATATTTTCAAATATCTTTTACTTACTGTCAGTCTAAGGCCCACCACATGAATCTGTCCTTCTAGTTCAGCTACTGCCAATGGGTCAAAGCAATTTTAACCCCAACAAATATTGACACTTCCCTTCACCAAGGTCTAGGCCAAGAATCTGGGACTCCTTCTTCCTGCCAATTAGATTGTGGTTTTTTCATCTTCCTCTTCGAGGATCAACATCTCCTTCAAAGAAGGTTATGCCACCTTAGAGAGTATGGCCTTACCCAATGGACAAGAAAAGGATAATTTTCTCAATATAACCAACTAAGCACAACATTTAAACAATGAATATATTTATTCCATAAAGTGCAGGAAGTAATTTTCTTACATTATATTCATTAATAGGAATTATTCTGTCCCTAAGGGTTAAAATTTGGCTGAAATAATCTGACCAAATAGCTATATAGTTAGGTTATGTTCCATCAAGAAACCTAAAGGGATAGAGATATTTTAAATGTTATGATAGTCCTTAACTTTAATCCTCTTTAGAGTACTTTTTGGAGGTCTGGCGGCACAGTGGTTAAAGTGCTCAGCTGCTAACAGAAAGGTCGGTGGTTCGAATCCACTAAAAGCTCCATAAATATTTACAGCCTTGGAAACCCTATGGAGCAGTTCTACTCTGGCCTATAGGGTTGCTATGAGTTGGAATTGACTCAACGACAGTGGGTATAGTACTCTTCACACTGTACAATAGTGTATCTGTTTACTTGCCTGTATCTGCCACTAGGCTGTAAGGTCCTTCCTTGAAGATGGAACTGAGTCTCTCCTATTTTCGTTTGTATCAAAACCTAAAACATAGGTATCTGGCACATGGGTGATCAACAAAACGCTGTAGAATAAGTGTCTTCATGGGTAGTAAATAGATCAAAGCTTATACCCAATTTCATATTCTGCAATATTGTCAATAAAAAGATTAGAGGAAAAACTGATAAGCAGGTACTCAGAAAGCAGTATAACTAGAAAAGAGGGTTGCAGTGTACAGTGGGGCAGGTTGTTCACTGCACAAGATTAACCAGCCAAATGGGCACACTGGGGCAGAAATCCAGACTGTGCTCTGCTCACCAATCCATGAACCCCAGCACAGGTCTGTATTTGCCCACAGGAAGGAATGCTTTGTTTCGAACTTGTACAAAGGCTTATACAAGCTAGAGATGGTTCTGCTTAAGTAACCTCTGATGGATTAGGTGCCCAGGAAAAGAGAAATTGTCCTACCAATCTGACTCCCCCACAAAGGGAGTGAAAGAAATGATGATTGTCTGATCTTGAATTGAGAACACTGAGGTTGGAGATGGTTTTTCTCTGGATTTTCAACATAGGGTGATGATGAAGTACAATACTTTTCATGTATAAAAAGAACCAGATAAGGAAGCCTCAGCATTCAACCTGACTCCAGAAAGTGAGCCACAGAATCAGAGGTGTGTAAAGAACTAAGAGAAACTTTAGAAATTTAAAAAAGCAATTTCATTGTTAGAAGTGATTTTAGAGATCGTGTAGTCCAATAACCATTTTACAGATGAGAACACCAAAAAGATCAGGGAGATTAAGTGACTTGCCTGTGGCTAGTTAGTAAAACTGGGTCTAGCTATTGTGTGTCATCAAGTCGATTCCCACTCATAGTGACCCTACAGGACAGAGTAGAGCTGCCTCACTGTCTTTCCTAGGCTGTAATCTTTCTCCCTTGGAAAGGCTCTGGTGGGTTTGCACTGCTGACCTTTAGGTTAGCAGTAAGTGCTTTAACCACTGCGACACCAGGGCTCCTTAAAACTAGAACCTAGTTTTCAATCTGATTATCCTTCTGCCACACCTGCTGGATTTGCCATATTATAACCAACAAACATTAAGTACCCACTGTGTGGGAGAAGCTGAGACATACGGAATCAGTCTCCACCGTGGGCTTTACAATGAGGCTGAGAAAACAGGAAATAAGGGTAGAAAGATAAACAATAATATGAGGTGGCATATGAAGGGAGTTTTAGACTCAGGTTTCTGAGTGGGAGTGGTGCCGCTGAGGTGAGAAATCGGTAGGCGTGGAGTGAAGCACCCTCATGTAGGCCGACAATTCTGGAAGGAACCAGAACCAGGTGACTGAAAAGGTCCAGCTGAGGCCGCCATGTGGGCCCAAGGCCACAAAATCTACGCTGGGAGAATCCAGCTTCCGGGCCCCTCTGGACACGTTGCTTAAGCATCGCGATACAGATTGCAAGGACGAGCGGGGTAAACAGTCTTTAGATCTGGGCTCTGAATCTCAGAAGGGTAGGGCAGAGGAAGTTGTTCAGGGAGAAAAGGGAGGAGGCGGAAGGGAGTTGTGGGTAGCGGAAGGGAGATGGAGAAGCCGAAAGGTGTCCTAGTGACCCGAGCCGACCCAACACCCGAGGCGGGAGGAGTTGGGAGAACGCCCCCACGCATCGCCTGCATGGGCGGGGTTTTCTGGGCTGTGCGCTCAGCCGGCGGGGCGGGGCCGACGGCTCAAGCACCGCCTACGTCCTGCTGCGTGACAATTGGATGGGTGGTGGAACGCGCCTGCGGCGGCTGCGGGCTTCAAGGGGGGCGGAGACGGTGCCGCTGCCGCCGCAGCCCCGATCAGGATTTGAAAGATTAAAAACTCCGGGCGCAGAGGGCGGCGCCGTTTAATGTGTGACGGAACCGCTGGGGGCCACGGCTCGGCACGGGGCCGGGTACCATGAATTACCCGGGTCGCGGGTCACCGCGGAGCCCGGAACATAACGGCCGTGACAGCGGCGCCTGGGAGTTGGGCTCGGATGCGGAGCCGGCGTTCGGCGGCAGCGTCTGCTGCTTCGAGCACTTGCCCGGCGGGGACCCCGGCGACGGCGAGGTGCCCCTGGCCCTGCTGCGCGCTGACCCCGGGCTGCACTTGGCGTCCGGCACCGAGGACCACAACCACCACCTGGCGCTGGACGCCTGCCTTAGTGACGAGAACTATGACTTCAGCTCAGCCGAGTCGGGCTCCTCGCTGCGCTACTACAGCGAGGGCGACAGCGGCGGCGGCGGCAGCTCCTCGTCACTGCACCCGCCGCAGCAGCCGCCGCTGGTCCCATCGAACTCCGGGGGCGGCGGGGCTGCGATAGGGGCGTCCGGGGAGAGGAAGCGCACCCGGCCCAGCGGCCCGGCCGCTCGGCACCGGTACGAAGTGGTGACGGAGCTGGGCCCGGAGGAGGTGCGCTGGTTCTACAAGGAGGACAAGAAGACTTGGAAGCCCTTCATCGGTTACGACTCGCTCCGCATTGAGCTCGCTTTCCGGACCCTGCTGCAGGCCACAGGCGCCCGGCCCCAGGCTGAGGACCTGGACGGCGACCATGTGTGCGGCCCAGGTACCCCCGCGGGCCCAGCCTCCAGCTCCGGGGAGGACGACGACGAGGACCGCGCCTGCGGGTTCTGCCCGCGCGCGGCGAGTCACGAGCCCGAGATGGAGGAAGTGGTGAACATCGAGCCGGTGTGCGTGCGGGGCGGACTCTACGAGGTGGATGTGACCCAAGGAGAGTGCTACCCTGTGTACTGGAACCGTGAGTAGCGGCTAGGGGAGGGCTCGCCGGGGTTTGGGCGGGACGGGCTGCACCTGCAGATGCACCGGGGTGGGTTTGGCCCTTGACCGCTGCGGAGAGGCAGGCGCGTGAGGCCTGGCTTTGGTCAGGGCAGAATGGAGATCGTGCAGGGAGCGCTGGCAGGTGAAGGGTAAACGAGCAGATGGCAAAACCCAAGCTGCCTTGGATCAAGAGGAGAGGAGACTGCCGGGGTAGCGTCTTCCGGGTGAGCCGGCTGCTGCTGCCATCTCTTGGAGGTGATCCAGGAAGGGATCTGCAGCCCGAAAGGTTTAATTTCTTGTTCCTACCACAGCTTTGCCCACCTGGGAATCTGATTCGGTCTCATTTACCCTGATCTGCTTTAAATAGCAGCATGTCCTCTGGGGTGGGAAGGTTTGAGAGAATCTGTACGAGAATCAATAGTTCAGTTATGGACTCTGGAGAAGAAAATTAATCCCTGGCGGGAAAGGGAGGGAAATAGGTTGTTCCCACCGGTTACATTTTTGGGAGAGGTAGAAAGCACTGCATAAAGCAGCCAAGTTCTGGTAAGCGGGCCCGCTCATTCTATGAAATACTCGGTTTTGACCCTTAAGTGCTTGTTTTTATATTTTTATTTTTGCCTGTTAATCTTGCAAAATTATAAGGCATATGTCTCGGTTTCCTCATGTATAAAATGAGGATAATTGTACCTACCTCATAGGATTGTTGTGGAGATTAAGTGAGATACTATTCATAAAGGACCTGGAACTGTACACATTTGTGCTTTATAAGGTTAGCGTTCGGCCCTTGTTCATTAGACAACACCACAATTAGGTTTATAGTTAGAGTAAGGTGACCAGAAATATCTGTCAGTGCATGCAGCAAAGGTTGCATATGTAATATATAGCAGATATTCTGTACTAACAGAAGCTACTATTGGCCACCAATATTGGCCACCAATAATTCGTAATATAGGGTTTTAATTCTAATGAACCCAACACCCTTAACTCAAATATCATCGATTGTCACTAGCCTTAAGTTCTCCATACTTCTTACAGTATTCTGCCTTATATTAATTATCTGTATTTATGGCTTAGCTTCCTTTTTATACATTTAGTATCTTAAGGGCAGAGTCCATTACCTTTATCTTTGTATTCTCACAGAGCCTCCAAAAAAAAAAAAACCAAACCTGTTGCTCTTGACTCATAGTGACCTGATAGGACAGAGGAGAACTGCCCCATAGGGTTTCTGAGGAGCTACTGGTGCATTTGAACTGCCAGCCTTTTGGTTAGCAGCCATAGCTCTTAACCACTGCGCCACTAGGGCCCATGGTGCAATAGGTATTCAATAAATAGGTATTGAATTGCATCAGTAATTCTGATAATGTTAAAAAATGTATGGCAAGCATAAGTCACTAAGATTGCAATGACAACATGTGTCAAATCCCTAAATAAAATAAGCATAGCAGGAAATTTAATTTCTTACTACAATTTAAGATGACATTGAAGGCATTTGTTACCATTTTTACAAGTTCAGAATCATGTTAGGATCTGTCACATCACTCATGTTTATAAGCTCAGTAAGGGCGGGATTATACTTAAGGTCCTTGTGAGTTGCCGCTGACTCAGCAGTAACTAACAACAACAAGGGCCGGGTATTCTTGTATTCATTCATTCATTCATTTTGTTCATACTTACCAATTATTTGTATGTGCATGATACAGTACTCCTGTAAAAGCATTAGGAAAGGTAGAAAAAAGGAAAATCCTTACCCTTCAGGAACTTCTCACTTAATCTTTTCTTCCTAAGATCAGAACATCACTATGTAGATTTTTTTCCTGAAAATAGAAGCACAGTGACTTAATGGAGCCAGAAAGTTGGATAAAATGCAGGTCATCCTCGGAGAGGGGACCGAGCACCAAACAATGACTCTTTACCATTAGAACAAACTTAAGTATATTTACCTAGAATGCTGTGTGCTCTTTTGATTTATGATAAAATTGTTAATGCTTACATAGTGCTTTCCTGTTTAGAAAATGATTTTCACATTAATTATTTCACAACAATGTCAAATTAATGCTGACATTTTGTATATGAAGAAATGGGCTCAGTGGAGTTAATGAATTTGTTCGAGGTCACTCAGCTAGAAAGTGATAAAGCAATCTATAGTCTAGTGGGGGAATACAGTGCAGTGTCCAAAGAGTGTCTGACCCATCCAAGGATGAAGGTGTCAGGAAAGCTTCCCAAAAGATGCGAGGCTGAGTCCTAAAGGATGAATTTATAAGGCAGAGGAACGGGGAAGGTAGAAGGAAAGGCATTGCAACCAGATGGGGTGACATTTGCAAGGACACAGAGGCATGAAACTGCATGACATTTTGAGGAAATGGTGGCTGTGCTTGCAGAGGCTAAGATGCACTGGGATGGGTGGGGAACAGGATGGAGAACAAGTAGGAGCACTAGCACATGAATGGCTCATTTAGGAGAGTAGTGGAAAAGGGACAAGGGTGGATGTGCAGTGCTAAGGAGTTTGGACTTTATCCAGTGAGCAAAGGGAAACCAAATAATTGAAGATTCTCTGTTACTTAGGTGATTGGTGTCAATGTGGAGATTGGATTGGAGGGTCAGAAACAGGCTATTATTAGAAAGCTAGTGTCATAAATCAAGTGAGAAATAGTGCCTTACAAAAGTTAACCTGAAAGGACACATGAACTTTTGAAACTTCTTTCTTGATGTAGATAGCTAGTAGGCTTATTATAGATTATAGATTAATTTTTGTTAACTAACATAACAGCAACACTATTTTGACTCCATTTGAACATTTTCTGAATAGTTTTCTGCACAGTACAATCCTTTGGGTGTCCAAGGTCCTCATAAAAAAAGCTACAGTGAAAACACAATAGTGCCTTTTGTGGCATCCCATAATTTACCACTTCTTACAAAATCTCCTGTAACTTTGCTGTAATTGGTTCTTTAAGTCTATATGTATTATGTAAATTTTTGCAACCCCTTGGAGGGCTCAGTCCATTATGATCTCTCCAACTCTTCTTCAAACCCTTCTTCAAATGGAAGGATTCTTACGATACTTGACAGCTTTTGACCTTCTTCTCATTTTTACTTTTCTTTTTTAACCTTTTGAAAACTTTCTGGATAGTGATAATGAAAGGTTAAAAAAAAAAAAAAATGAGTCTAGCAAGTTCCTTTACAGCTTGGTGGTAGGATTCCAGTGTCCATTTAGACTCTGTGACCTAATAGAGCCCTGCATCTGGGTGTGGGCCTATGCCTGTTTTAAACTCTTACTAGCAGTTACAATTTAAATCAGCATAGGGTACACAAAAGAGAAACAGATTTGTCTTTCTGTAGATCGGGAGACAATTTTATTACATATGAAAAAAGTATTAATTATAGGAAATTTATTTTTGTGTGATTGTATGTTTAGATGTTCTTCTGGCTGCATGTGGACATTTTAGATAAGAACTGATCGTTGCTGAGTAGTGGCTAAGTGAACTGCCTCGCTCCCTGTCTTTTTCCTAAGCTACTTGTATCCACTTCATAGGCTTGTTGTGAGGATAATTATATGTAATATGTTTAGAACAGTGGTTGGCACAGAATAAGTACTGGGTAAGTGTTAACTATATCTATGTGGATCTCAAAAAACAGTATACCTTATTTATAGAAGTTCATGTGAGGGTTAATAAGGTTGACCAGTGCAAAATTGTGCAGACTTTATTACTGACCTGCACCTCATCAGAGGTGAAAGTATATTTGTGAAGAATATTGGCAAGAAAGTGGCCAAAACATTTAGTAATAGTTGAAAGGAGCTCATATGGAGCATTCTAGAGTAATTTGATGAGCTTAGAAAGTATAGTCTGATAGCAATTCTGATGGCAGTAATGTGTGTGGTATACCCTAGGGAGTATGTAATTTCCGTTCATTGACCAAAGTAATTTAATTGACCAAATTTTTATGTGAATGTGTAGTTTCCAAAAGCAGTCGTTAAGTATAAGCCACAGCTTCCTCCTCCCGGCTCTGGTGCACATATGAGGCCTGCTTGCATTATTATAATTCTAAACCATTTTCTGTTTCAGGCACTTTAAAACTAACCAGTTGTCTTCACAATACATTGGAATAAAAGGAAAATAATATTCCCAATAAAATGAGATAGAAAAAATGGGACTTTTTTCACAAGTACCCAAATTATATGATATTTATTAACTTGTAACAGTCTCTCTTAGACCTTTTCCATTCAGGGGTTAATACCGGTCATTTATGAGGCTGAGGGCATCAGAGAAAGTAATGAGGCCCAAGGGGTGGAAGGATTCTTGATCAGCTTCTCCTTCCAAAAAATCCCTGTGGCACAGTGGTTAAGCGCTCATCCGCCAACCAAAAGGTCGGCAGTTGGAACCCACCAGCCTCTCTGTGGGACAAAGATGTGGCAGTTTGCCTCCGTAAAGATTACAGCCTTCGAAACCCTATGGGGCAGTTCTACTCTGTCATGTAGGGTTGCTTTGAGTCAGAATTGACTTGACAGCAACAGGGATAGAGGATTAGAGGCCAGGCATTGGCATGCCTGACCCTGAGTAAGCGCTGCAGACTTTAATCTCTTACACCTTTAACTGCAGTATCCCCCACCAGCCCAGACTGGAAAGCAGCCTTGACCTGCATTGGAGCCCCTGGCTGCTCAGGTTTGCAGAACCCTGGCAGTAGTGTTCTGAAAACCCACCCCATCCCAATTCAGGTCTGCTTTAGACTGATGGCACTTTTCAGTGACTTAACTAAAACAGCACTAGGATATGAATGTCTAGTGTGGCATGTATGGAGGACAGGACTTGACACTTCCTGACTAAGGCATTCAAGACTTCTTTTTCCCTTTGCATTGTACCATTAGTTTAAAAGTTGATTTAGTATCAGTTATTTGTCCACCTTGTCTGTATATGGCTCAACTGTAGTCATGCACATTTGTACAGATGGTTTCTATAAATGTTCAGGGTAACTAGTGCTGTTTTC